CACCTAAAGACCAGCTTTTTTGACCTTGGGATTGGTGATCTCTTCCTAGTGGATCAGCATCTTCCTCTTGCACAGGCGTCGGGAAGTGAAAGTACGCGAATCTGTATCAAATTCTAGACGATTGGAAGATGGTGTGACATAAGGTTAGGTATTGGGGACCTAATTGTTTGATTTTTATTAGCGATCTGATGAGCTTAATCACTTCACACATTTTATCTTACACCGACGACATCAGAGTTTGGCGGCTGATCAAAGTGCTAGCCAATCGCATATGGCTTCAAAACCACCTCAACTATATTTATAAACGGTCAGTCCACAATCGTCTCCAATTCAATTTGACTAAATGTCAAGTACTCCGTCTACGACACCAACTGGTTCGCACCTATAAGCAGGGCGCCCAGGATCACTAGCACTTTTCTCATTGGAAAATATCTTGGTTGTTCAGGGAAATCTGCGCTAGCACCGAAAAAGGAGATCCAAAAAGTAGGGCTCTTACAGACAGCTTTTGGTCACTTTGACCCATTGTTCCCCAGCTGTTTCTGCATACATAGCCCCGCACGTGGAATACGCGATTTGTAGCATGGCAGCCATGGTTGAAGCCGAATCGCAGGGTCTTGGACGCCGGCACACCAAAGACGTCAAACGGATATACTACTGAACCTACGAAGAGTGTCTGAGTATTTTGGCAGTCTTCAATGAATGCTATCTGCGTTTGCGTGGTACTCTTATCAAGGCTTACCAAGTTTTAAGCAACGCTAATCACTCTTGCTATCAGCTGCTAAAGCTCAGACGTAAAGCCAGTGAGAAGCCACCATCTCCAATTGGTAGAAGAATGCAGTCGCCTGGACTTTGGATTTTATTCTCACTACGAGTATACCACAGATGGGATGCACTCCCGGAACTTGTAATTTTGTCGACATTAGCTGTCTTCAAAGATCGTGTCGATAATAGGTTGATCACGTTGCACCACACCGTGAAACACTCATAAACCATAAGCACATTTCAAAAACAAAACCGCGTCCAACCAAACCGGTTTTTCTGGGGAAAACCAAAGGCGGCAACATTTCAAGTTGCATTAAACTTCTTTTGACGATTCAGTAACAAAACTTGGCGCGGCAATTTTTTTTCTGTTATTCTCTGTTCATGGTTTTGATTCCTTTTTTTGAAAACCCACACTCACCATCATGCATGACATGTTAAGCCTCGGCGACTTCATCTGCAATATACCATCGATCACTGACCACTAGTACCAGTGTGTCAACGTATTGTGATCAAGTGACAAGTTACTTGAACTACTGCGTGTTTTCTGTTGTCAGATAGAAACTGTTCCCATCCGTGATGCTTGGTTCTTTCGGTAAAACTCATTCAGCTACGTGTAATCAGAGAAAGAGTGAGTTCAGAAGAAAAGATCGTGCTTTGGTGGAGTCCGTTTCTGTCCCTATCATGTTTATGTCCAGAAAGTACCGCGAAACAACACTTATCAATCGTCATACTACGTATTTTGGAGTGGAATTGGAAAAACTAAAGTGTAATCATTATTCCAGCAGTGACACATTCCCTTACTCATCATTCGTACAGTTTTATTGGTCTGCAGAACCGAATTCGGCTGAGGTTGCATTAGTGCATAGGAATTAAATTTAGCAAAAGTGATTGGGACAGGATACTTCCACCCGCCCTCAAGGAGCATGAAAATTCCTAATCTCAACCTCTTGCTAAGTTCCACACACAACCGGTATAAAACAAAACAACATCACCGATGGTTAGAGTATTGACAGCATAACACTAGTGACGAAGAAAGGAATAGACAGACATCGGTGTCCTGCTTGAAGTTCAGTGGCTTTGGTCTTTGAAACACTTATACTTAAGGGAAAGCTAGCCTAGTGCATTTCGAATGATCCGCATCAGGCTGCCTACCGCAGTTCAGGCATCTTTGTGCCCGTTTTACATTAAGCTCTATAGTCAGTAGATAATCAGAACAAATCCACACGTATCTGCTTCTTTAGATATAATGCCTTCGGCTGTGTTAACCGTGAATGGATTTGCGAAATTTTCTTCCTGCACTCAAGCTTCTATGGTCTTCTTGCTGAAGGATTGGTTTACCAGATGTACTCAGGTCACCAGACTGGGGTACAGGAGCTCCTGGCTAAATACTACAGGTTCCTGTGTCCGTCAAGGAGCTATTCGCTACCAGGAAGCCATCTAGTTAAAATATGCCGATAACGTAATCATGTGCGTGAGTAATCTAGCCTACATTTATGGACCTACCAACAAAGTTGTTCGGATGACCTGTTGGGATGCTCAAAGCTCGCTGTCTGGCGTACAATGCATGAAAGCATAAAGCAGCTCCTCACCACAGTTAAAAAGGCTGTCTCCGGCTTCAGATCGATAGTAAGAGCTGAGTCTCCCCATTTCAATGGAGAATCCGGAAGCAATGACTTATCATGGTTGAATCTTGTGGATGAAATATTCACCAAAGTTAAGAGACTGTCATTTCAAATCTCTCGTCTGCGGTCAACTTTCATCCAATTTGACCCCGCGGTTCATCACCATGTGTAGTCTGCTGCACTGGATCTATGGCTCACCTGTGATTCATCAAGGCCTATTGGGTAAGCATTTAAAACACATGACAGGTCACTAGAACACTTGTCTGGCAGTATTGACATCTGAGAGCCAACTTTAGCTCAAATTATCGTACCTACTCATGTTAATTCTTGCACAAAACGTGTTTTAGTAATGCTCACTGATGGTAGCCATCATTTATAGCGTGCGACGGCTGTATGCTTAACAAGTATCTCGACCAGACGAAATCACACTGCAGTACACGCCCGTAGGCGAGCGTGCGGTCCGCTGGCCACTTCCGATTTGGCTTGACTTCTACTTGATGAGAACTTTGCTATCCAGTAAGTAACTAGAGATTTCTATACACACACACGAAGCTTCGTATCTTCTGTTCTTTCGTGGCTACACCGCACACTATATCTCGTTTTATTATTATTTCGATGAACGGTGTGCTATAGCTTATGTCACCGTTCCCGGATTCATAAACAGCATTCTTGACTTCGCTGGGTTGCAGTAATCCGCAGTTCGAGAAGACCTCCTAAAACTGGTTAATATTTTTCAATTCACACTTAGTCATTGTTGTGGTACATTTGGCAACTACAACTTCACCCCCTGGAGAATGCCGGTAATTCCCAACAATGTGTAACCAATTTATATCGGACTAACAGGTTTTAAGCATTTCCGTGTTTCTTTGTGCTATTTCGTCTGAACCACGCAGTAAGTGCGACCCTGCATGCCACACTCACTCACCAGATACGAGAGGATAATGTTATACGCCACCCTGTCGTCTTCCATACCCGATGCTCGAGTATTTTACACCAACTGGGGGACAATAACCGAATTGAGTTTCCGTTTCATAAGTTCGCCTGAACTATATTACGGCTCGCAAGCACTTGGAGACACCCCCACCATAGAAAACTTAATCACAGTAGGATCAAACGCAATGCTTACTGGACTGTTCACGTGATAGGTGTTTCGGGTGATTGACCCTTAAGGGTCACTCGAGTGGCCGCTTCTGTCCGATGTCAAGCTGAAAAAGGTTACGACGGAACAGATTTCGTACGGAAATCGAACCATCAAAACAAAACTTCGCAGCACGTACTAATGCCGCTTCCATCGATTTCCAACCTCTGTCCTATTTATTTTTGCCTCTTAGGGATTGTTCAGGCAGTATTTGACTCTGAAGAAACCTGCGTAACACTTTTGCAATGTTAAGCAACATGTATTACGCAGAAGCTACCCGATCAGTATAACGAGGAAACAATCTGAAACAACGCTAAGCATACGTTTTGCATCTGCGTAACCATTTTTTCTACAATGATATAGCCCTCGTTTCCTAACTACCTGTTTCACTTCGATATCCGACTGAAAACGGACCAAATCATGCTCGTAGTCATCTACTTGTAAATCCTTTTGTTACACGTTGCTGCATAGCTATGGTAGTTCAGGAAGCATTCGTTATATAGCTATTGAGAGTATCAACTTTTTCCACACACGCATTTCAATCCAGACAACTGACCGTCAGGGGAATAGATTCCATCACGATACACCCATTCTAATCCCGTCGGTAACACGAAGAACCTAGTTCACTTTTAAATGACAGAACAGTTTTCCGTGAAATTGTGGGCAAACCTCAAATATAGCGCTACCTTACCCTGTCTATTTACATTTGGGAGCATCGGGTTTAGTTTGTTGAGTAGTTTCAAAATAGTGGCCCATGATCCCTCAATAGACAATAATTAGCGAAGAGCGCTGGCATCATCAGCCCCACCTTAACGACGTTAATAAAGTCGAATGATCACAAAATCAGACCAATACTTGGATGAAAAGGAGCATAAATCAAATGCACGCTGCAAGTGCCAAACTGCAGACAATATAGGGCCCAAACTTTTACTTCTCTTGTGCACTTTCCGTATATGTGGGGTTCGATGACTATACTGCAACAGTTGGCATAGACTCAATTTGGTTATCGATGTGGATACAACTTGTGCCATTGGGGCAGACGTCGTGAGTGCGTTAAGAATTACGAAAAAGTGACCAAATACTGTACGGGGCAAGAGACCACCAAGCTACGTGTATGCTTCCGGAAAACCACGTTTTAGTCCCACTATCAGTTGTGCATATCGATCGGAAAAAAGATTTAATAATTTACTGGAAATGTGAGCGTCTTCGTGTGAACACAGGGTAAGCTAGCGAAAGTTGCAAAAACCCATTAGCTAAACACTAGCGCAGCGAAACTACGTGCAGGTTTCCTTGGGTGCATGTGGTCGGTTAAGGGATGCTTTCACAGGCTGTAAAATTTTGGAGTGTTGCGAAAAATATCTTTCATTTTGTCGTATCACCATTAATATATGCCAACAGGGTATTTCTATGGCAGATAGGTATACACAGTTAAAACCACACGGATGTCTCACAATAGGTATGTTACTTATGAAACTTACTTTTAGAAATATCCATTCCAATCATTTTCTTTGGGTTCACTCGTTCTTGTGCATCAATTATTGTACAACTTCCAAGTTTTTCTCCGCCTGCAATGTCTCTGGGATCGGATAGAGTAATTCTCGGCCATAGGTCTACCCATTGAAGATTACTAGATCCATCGACACTGGCACGAACTTGAGGGAACAGATAGACAAGATAAGCATCAAGGTTGCTTTCCCGGTCGACTGGTGAGAGCTCGTTAGGTACGGTCAATCGAACAGTAATGTTTGTCAGTCTACTAATCGGACCCAAATATTCCACTTGGTAGGTGTGCTCCACGCGAGGACCTACCTCCTCCACATCAACACGTCGTAAGAAATCCACCGCCCACGGAGCTGGTTTCGTCCGGTTATCCATTCGACTGAAAACTGATTTAGGACCGTAGGATATCCGCACTTTTGGTTCATTTACCAAACGGTACTCAATATGTACTTCATTCCCTTCGCTTATTGGATCGTAAGTCCCGGGGATTAGTCGAACGGTTAGTCCAGCTCCCAATGAAAAGTTGGCCGTTGTCATTTGAGTATAATTCACATAATATGTTGACAGTTTCAGATAGAACGACGGGGGGATGTGCTCTCTATCCAATGATAGTGGCGCTGGTATTGTCCCCAGAAATGTGGCCACCCAACTTTCATTCGCTGCGATATTCACTGACAGTTTGATCTCCTTCTGCTCCGCTAGATTCTTTTCACTCTCAAATCCGATTAATTGAGCAAATCGAAGGTCACCGTGAAATTGTATTTCAATCCAAATTCCACCAGCAAGCGTAGGACCATAATTAAAAACTTGGATCAGCAATTCGGGATGTGAGCTCTCGGCATGTCCATATATCAAGGCATATTTCTTTAAGAAACGACTATCTTCTACATGCCCAACGCTCTCCCGTTTATCGGAATGCGCACTCTTTGCTGTAACGTCGGATACCATGACATAGAGATCACTTTCGCATATTCTGTGGGGATAGCAGATAAATCGACTGAGAGGGACCCTTGCGATGCACCTGGACCAATCAATGTGTGCTCGTTTTAGGCCACTTCCATCAGAGCAAGTTCCATTATCGTCAATAACCGACCCGTTTCCAATACAAGGCTGGATAAACCGATAAGCAACAAATAAACCATTCTTCTCGGTATCAATACCAACCATATCCTGAACATCTTGCTCGGCTGATAGACTGAATTTGATGGCCAGGAGGTTTTGTGCCAAATCGAGATCACTGTCCACTCTGCCTGCAATTACGAAGCGTTGAGTCATGGAGTCACTCGCATTCCAGTCTACAAGCACCTGATGATGCAGTCGATTGGATGCCTCGTCCATGAAAATATGTTTTAGTACGTCAGCTTTTTGGTCCTCTGTCGCTTTACTTTCGAGGTGAACTGTGAGCTCAACTGGTATGGTGTCCCCAGCAAGAATCTGTCTTATGGACAACCAAGGGGGGAAGGTGAAACGACACTCTGCATTAAATCGATGCCGTGTGGCGAAAATATGAATATCTGGTGTGGATGGTGACTGTGGACCACTGGTGCTAGGCACTATTAGATCAGGAAAACCATTGAAATCTAGATCATCTCCACCTTCAGGTAGAACTGATCCAAAAGTAGGAGATTCAACTGGGCCTTGTAGAATTTGGAGGGGAACTCGATCAAATTTGCAGTCTGACAGTAGGCGTATTATGTAGACTCGGCCGTACCCGATCCGACCGTCTAGATCCGGTGCTCCAACCGCGATGTCTTCTATTCCATCGCCATCCACATCACCGAGCCTTGAAAGCGAAAATCCAAAATGAGTGCTACCGATGGGACCGTCCAATTCGTCATTGTACAATTGAAGTTTACCCTGGTGCGCCGAAACTTCAGGAAGGTCAGCAAAAGGGCAGTACAAAAATATCTTACCCCTATCGGAACTGGTACCACGGTCCAAATTGGGCCCAGTTGAGCCGGCAGTGTCTGGTGACACCGTACTGTACGGCGCACCAACGACCACAACCACATCTGAAGCACTTTTGAGCCTGGTGCGCAGCATTGAAGTACCGAAGCCGTCGAACAGCTGATGCGGTTGCACGCCGCCTATCCAATCGGCACTTTGCGTTGCATCAGTTGATAGTCGGACACCGATCAACTGAGCCACGGTCACATTTAGATTTGCACCTAGATCGAATGTCCCAGGGGCCGTGATGAAACCATTTCTCACCACGTATCCAAACAGAGATCCAATGACAGCGGGTGTCTCCCAGTCCGGACGCCTGATGGTCACAGTAGTCGCTGTTCCATAGGGATCCTTGATAACTTGCACTCTTCCGTAGGGAACCGCCAACGGCTGCCCCGTCCATAGTTCAACTTTTCTCAAGGAACTGGAAACATAGTGGTTTCTCACTGTGCTCAAAGGCAGTGATAACGATACACTGTAACCCGCCATACAAGGAGTTGCCACCTGCAAACCGGATTGACAAAATTCCGAAAAAACAATCACGTTATCGAGTTTGCCTTCTGTTAGCGCAGTTAAAAAACAACGCCCAACCGGGACAGGAGATGTGGCACGCCAAAGTGGATCACAGTAAGCCAGCAAGCTTATATTGTTAGCAAGCTTCAGTGTGGTGCTCGAGGCACCGAGATTCTCGTGTGAAACATCAGTTCTTGATTGAGGATTAAGTTTACGACATGCTTTTTGACGGGGAGCAAAACCAACTGCATGATGAAGTTGAGAGATTTGTTCGAATTCACAGAGAAACACACTACCTCCGTCACGAGGACTGACAGAGATTGCGTCAGGCGAATCGAATGATCTAATCGAAGAACCACCAGCGAGAAAGTAACTGCGATTCACAGACTTGATACTAGTTAAACTAAGTGTAAACCAATGGAAGCGCTGTGGGTCATGGTGCTCGCTTACCAGCTGCTGTAATGACTGTGAAAGACGAATGAAATCCTCAGTGGCACACAAATGCATAGGTCGAAAATCTGGTAATAAGTGGGGTGGAGTTTGAGGAGCCCACAGTTTCGCCATTCTGTTATCACGCTGCTTATCCAACTCGGCGTAGGACATAGATTCCAACTGACGTGATTGGCAAAAATGAATTAAAAGGTTTATGAGAATAATGAACGAGGTAATCATTGTATCACGAAACCCGGCGTGTTGAGGTATAAATGCTGACTCGGATAGCATCTGCTTTGCAGTGCATCGGGGTTTTTTAATACTCCACAGAATATTGGTTTCACATCGTGATCGTGAGGTTACCTACATGGCGCCGACGAGTTCGTCTACCCACCTGTTCAACGCGCGACACTACTAACATCACTTCGGTCGATCATTCTGTCCAGTAGGAACTATGGATGATGAAGGTCATCACACGTCGCATTTTGATTGGTCCATAACTGACCACATTCACAATGGAATTGGCGGACGAATCCCACACATTCTGAACATATCTAGACTATCCGACCAAGAATACAAACTGCCCTACTAAATGGTGGGGGGATCAAACAACCGGTGAGGGTATAGCGAGCTTTTGTTGCATATAGTTTACCATACAAAATATGACACGCAAAACCCTGTATGCACGATTAGGTTCCGACATTTATAACCGACCGTCATAATACACGACACAGGGGGTGAAACAAGGTTAGAAGCAAGCAAAGAAAGGAAAATGTCTCGAAGACAACCAATTCAAGACTTTCAGTGCACTTTCGTAAGTGTCGACAATCAGTTTGGTGCAGTGACTGTGCTCTGCATTCGGCCTGCTAATTTCAATGGCCGTTACATTTTCCCTCAATGGGAGTACCTATTTGGCCCCATAAGAACTAACTTGGGATGGTTTCTAGTTAGCATTACGTCACGTTTGGTTGATCAACGTAGAATAGTTGAAATGAGTAATGCGTGACGTAATTCGTATCTGATATCCGTCCCGTTGATCCGAATCTCTGGAGTTTGGATAGGCCTGACATGGGGTCACCGATGCGCCAGTATTTAGAAGCGTGCCCCGTGACTTCATCATATTGTCGATTTACTCTTGCAATACTGAGCACAGTAGACTTACTTGGTTTCTATACTACCCGCAGTGGACCCATAGTCCAGATACTATTCAAGTTGCTCAAAAAACCTTCGGCATGGTCATTGTAGTTTCGCCAGGCTTTGACGATAGTCTGTCCTCCAGTTACTTGGAGATAAATGATAAATCAAGTGCGATGAATGAATCCGAACAGTGAGGCTATAAACGTGAATTTTCCTGGAAAACGAAAATGCCAGACTGGTTTCTACTGGTAAATGCGTATCTGCTCGTCATGTGCACTTATTTTCGCTGAATGTGACATGAGTTTTCGCACAGGAGGGTGAGGTGAACGGAGGATTCCAAGAGAGATTCATCCTTAGACCGTTTCGCAGAGGAACTGCACACTTGTAGTGCACATCGAAACTACGAAACGACCGTGCCTACTTTTCGCATTGTACCCTGACTGACATAGTTATGCCTATAGGGGCCAAGCCAGTTCACCGCAGGTTAAAAACGGACACGAATGTGTTATTCAGAATTTTTCATCGACTAACACACCAGTTACTGTCATCCCGTATTTCAAGAACTTTCACAACAAAAACGTGAGTCATATAGACATTGTGAGAAGACTACCTCGTTACTAATCGCGTCTGCACCTAAATATCACATGCTTTGGAATGAATAGCCTTCCACTGTCGGAGGCTAAACTTCGCTTCGGATATTTACGATGAAACTAAAGGAATAATTTGGTTTACAATATTAAGGAACTGTATTGTGTTAGTTTCACAGATGAATGACTGTATGGGAATGGGACAAATAATGTGTAAACACGCGTGGAATTCGTAACGAAAAAGTAGTTAAAGATGGGGGAGATAGCTTTGGCAATATAACCTGTACCTGCCTTGTCCTCGCTTTTGTTACCTAAATCAACTGTCTCTCTTTCCTTTCTCCTACACTGTTACACACTTTGTTCTTAAACTGATAACTCATCTATGGCCTTTGAAAATATGGGCACAGATAAGTTGGATAAAGTAGAGCTCACCTCTCTTCTCTTCTTCTATACTGCCTCGTTCTTTGTATTACTCAGAGTGATGTCCCATTGATGGCCTACAAGCACATGAGCACATTGATGGGTTGGATAGAGTAGATTTATCTTTGCATTTTTATCCTTCTACACGGATTCTTACTCACTAAGATTACATATTCACTGCTAGGCTATCAAGAATATGCGAACATCAGTGGATTGGACAAACTGGTTTTCTTTGGCCCTCCGGAACTGCTTCATCCCGCCAGCAGCCAGCCAGATGGATGCCTGTAAAACGTGAACTCGTCGTACTCTTGATTTCCCTCTTACTAAACCATAGCTTATATACTTAGATCCATTTCCCTTCGTTACCAGATCTTGCCACCTGTGTGAGGCTCCTCGTTTATCGTAAATTTTTTAAGTTCATAATGGAAATAACTATTTACCACCTAATTGTTATTTTGTCAACTCACACGCTGGCAATGTGTTTAAACTTTTGTTGTATGTCACTATCATAGCGGCCACTGGTCGGTTATTTTTGGCTGTGTTGACAAGATTACTTTGCTTGAGATTTATTCGTTCATTGGAAGTATTTGGTGGAAATTTAGGCACCATACAGTATCATTTATGACTCTGCATTTTTCGACCATAAATACTTCTGCTTTCTAAAATGATTCGAAATACCGGTAGCTCGGGTTGATGAATCTTAGTAAGCTTGTACGCTACATATCACTGCACTGAGGATGCCACCTCGCATGGTGGTGAAACGTTTGCGAGAAAACCGCCAAGCTCGGAGAACAAATGAACAATTGGCTTCTGTTTTCACTGCTTGGTTTCAGCGATCATGTTAGCGTTATTTTCTCCAGCAATTGGTCGCCATCTTGTTTTCGGATTATTCACATTGTCGAACGAATCACCCTGTAGTACTTGTTCCAATCTAGTCGGATACCGTGCAAGTGTCCTCAGGTGTGTTTTGTGCCAAGTTAAATACCACATTTCATGTGTTTTATTATCAGTTGAACATTTTCATCGTTCTCGTGAAATCCAACACGATTTCGTTCAAACTTTATATGAAAATTGCCGAACTAAGATACAGCCAGGAAGAGTAAAGCCAACGCGTAGGCTTCCTCGTTTCACTGCGAACAGCTCCATGTGTTTGGCCAAACAACTTAGCCCGAAGAGCCTTCAGGTTTCAGCTCAGCCTTCCTCCTCTACCCGTGCAAACTCACCGACAAAAAGTCCAACTGTTGTGAGAAGCCCAGTTTCACTGGCATAAATTGATTACCTTTGTTGTGTCCAACGAACACTTATGTCCCATCAGGTGAAATCCTAAGTGCTGAAGACCAGTGGAAAGAACAGAGAAGGAAATTACGAAGGGAAGTTGTGCGTTTAATTACTGTAAGTCAGCAGTTTGCCAAACCACGTGAGGCTGGTAATATACTTCACACTGCAAGGTCAACCTCGTCTGACCAGAGGCATTATAACCTGATATTCCACACGCCGCAGTCCAGTGATCCATCACCCCAACTGCGTTACGATCACAATGTGGAGTTTTCACAGAGTCTAATTGTCAGACTCCTCGACGCTGATGAGGATTTGGTAAAAGTGAGCCAAATTACCCGTCTTGAAAAACAAGGTGATCAACAAAATCGGCCTATGAGAAGCACTTTTATGGACGAAGCCAGTCCAAGACTGATCTTGTCCTGCCTATGTAGGCTAAAAGGTTTGAAGATCCATGTTCGCCCAGACCTGGACGCAGTAGACCGGGAAAGGCTAAAGTCTGTCATTATTGAGCTGAACAGACTAATTGGTGAGGAGGAAACAAATCTCCGTATCGTAAATTTTTCAAGAATCAGGATACACAGGTTGCTCACACTGCAAGCACGCCTAGCGGCTCCTGCTGCGGCCTGCGGGTAGCCTTCACAAACGTTTGCAGTGTTACGAACAAGCGCGATGTGCTTTGTTGTTTCTTTGCGTCTGAGCAACCAGACGTAGTGGAACTCGCGAAGACATGGCTGCATTCAGAGTTATACGCCCAGGAAGTTGAACCCAATGGTTAATCCTGCTTCCGATGCGATAGATTAACGAATGCCCGCGGTGGTTTCTTGCTTTGCATCCGGTCTTTCCTGCATGAGACATTTGTGAGCACCTACCGAAGTGATGATGGTTTGTGTAAAATACTGTGGTACTCCATCCACCTCAGGCGCGGAGAACTACTTGTGGTCGCAGTCTATCCCAGCCCCTTGAGTCTTTGTTTGGATTGGCTGCCCCATCTTCGAACCCACATGAGTTATCCAGACTTCCTACATATGGGCGATTTTAACTGTCCTCTAATACGATGGCCTGGTGTGCATATGATGCCTGGGAATAGTGAGGTTAAAGCAAAGTTCGTGAATTTGGTACTTGAAACTGCTGCTTCGCAACACATGTGCCAGCCAACACGCATAAAACCACGCTCAACTCCGCCTCGTCTCGACCTGATGTTAACGAGCTACGAACAACTAGGGCATGACCTTTGGATCCTAGAGTCCATGGATACAAACGACCACTTAGTGCTCATAGCTGATATTCTATTAACATCGCCGTATTCACATCCGCTGGAACCAGCTTACAACTACTGGAAAATGGACTTCGACGGTCTAGCTCCAGCCGCCCGCCGACTGGATTAGTCTCTGTCCTAGGCAGCATCTATGGAAGACTGTTAGACATTTATACAAGAGAGATTGACATCACTGCGTTCCCAAGTTGTGCCCTTGAAACGTCGGAAGGTCGGACCGATGAAGCCTCATTGGTTTGAAAAAGGTTATGGAAATCTGGCTCAAAGGCGGCGCAGACTGTGAGACGGATTTCTCCTCTCTGACTCTGCCAATGATTACGAAGGGTATCAAAGCCAGCGCAACCTCTGCAATAGTGCAGAAAGTAATAAGCGTCGAAATTTCGCATAGCAGCTTGCAATAGCCGCGAAGACCGCCCCAAAGAGAATCTATACTTACGTGAAGCGACGCCTGAAGCCGACGAGTGATGTGCCAGTGCTGGATGGCCCGGACGGACAGTCCCTAATCTCCGGCACTGGGCGTGCGTCCACGTTGGTGGCGCACTTGGCTTCTGTATTTACAAATGCCCAGGTGTCTGTTCCGAGTTCGAGGTGTATCGTTTTTACCGAACACAACAGTCTGGATTGCGGCGTTGAAGAAGTACGTCAACTACTCGCCAGCCCTAACGGAACCAAACCTGTTGGACCTGATGGGCTTCACCCACTGATCATCAGTTCACTTTCGCTCATCATCTCTCCTGTCCTGACTGATCCTTTA